GGATTAAAGTTATGTGCCACCAACCACTGCCCCTCATGTTCTGTTCCTTTATCTGTTCTCCTTTGCAGGAGAATTCCTCCTGCTCCTAGTTAGGGGAGGGCTTATTTACTCGAGCAAGGTCAGCTTACCAGTGGCTACATCCCTGTGACTCTCTGACCCTAGCAGTCATTGACTACAGCTTTAGATTTGTTTGGGGGGTGTGTGTGTGTGTGTGTGTGTGTGTGTGTGTGTGTGTGTGTGTGTGTGTGTTGTGTGCATATGTGTGTATGGGTATGTCTGTGTGTTGTGCATATGTATGTATGTGCTTGTATGTACCTGTGGGCCCATGTGTGTGGGTAGGTGTGCTTGCATGTGAAGACCTGATTTTGATGTCAGGAATTGTCCTCCATTTCATCTTATTCGTTGAGGACGGGTTTCTCAACAAGCTCAGAGCTTACCTCTCTGGGTACTCTTGACAGCCAGCTTGCTCTGGGGAGCCACTGTCTCTACCCTCAGAGGCTGGAACTACAGACAGGTCACCATGCCCACCCAGCATTTCATTGGTTCTGGCGGGGAGGGTCTGAAGCTAGTCTTCATGCTTGTGGCAAGTACTATAACCACTGAGCCACCTCTCCAGTCCCTTGCAGGCTTACATTTTTAAAATAAGATTTTTAGTGCTATACAATGAACATCTACATCTTTACATCATTAAGTGCCTGCTCCCCCACTACGCTGACTTAAGTCACCCCCGATTAGTTCTGCCCCTTCTTTTCTTCTGGGTTTTTTGTTTTGTGTTTTTTTTTTTTTTTTTTTGAGACCCTGGCTAGTGTGGAACTCTATGTAGATGAGGCTAGTTTAGAACTCACAGAAATCCACCTGCCTCTGCCTCCTACCTCCAGAGTGCTTGGGATTAAAGGTGCATGCCACTATGCTTGGCCTCTTTTTCTTTTTTAATATTAGCATATATTAATTGGACAAGATGGTCATTTTCACTATTACATTTTCACACGTGTATAATAATGCACTTTGATTACGTCCGCAGTCTACGACCCTCTTTTGCTCCTCTTCCTCTGGTTGCCATGTTTTAGGCTTTCTATAAAGTGAGTTGTGCAGAATGCCCTCCTCCAGCTCTTGTTGAGACCACACTACTCTCGGACAAATATGCACAGTCTGTGTAATAGAAGTTCATGTTTGTTACGTAGTTTTAGCTCAATTTATTTCTCATTTTCATGGATCTACTGTTGACGGGTAGCTAAGTTATTGCCAACTTGGAGTTATTATGAGTAAAACTTGCTATTGTTGCACATTTGTTTTGGTGAACATCTGTACTCACTTAAATAAAACAGTAAAGGTGCCAGAAATGGTGGCGAGTGCCTTTAGTCCCAGCACTCCGGAGGCAGAAGCAGGTGGATCTCTGTGAGTTCAAGGCCAGCCTGGTCTACAGAGTGAGTTCCAGGACAGTCAGGGCTGCACAGAGAAACCCTGTCTGGAAAAAACAAACAACAACAACAAAACAAAACAAAACAAAACAACCCATATTTCTTTTAATTGTGGTTTAATTCCTACATACCTTTGCTTTCAGTTTTAGGGGGCTGGTAGTGGTGTAAGGAAAGAACCTACTTCTGGAAGTGACTTTCCACATGTGTGCTGTGACACGCATTCTGTGAAACACACACCCAATCAATCAATCAACCACTCAATCAATGTAAAAATAATTTATAAAAAAGAAGATAAATTCCTAACAAATAGAACAGCCAGTATTGTTTTGTTCTTTGGCATCCAACTGCTCCATGCTTTGGAAGTGCTCCCCACGAGTGTCAGCAAGATCCTCAGCACACCTACTGAAGCTAAAGAGGCCCTGACTACTGAGCTCCCTTGCACCCAGAGCCCTAGCTACCGAGCTCTCTTGCACCCAGAGCATGGCACAGGACCTGGACTCCACCGGGCCGCATCGCATTCTGAATCTGAGCTGTGCAAACGTCCAGCACTGAGGATGGTAGGGCTGATGATGCACTTGACACGCAGGAGACTCGGAGCTTTTCTCACACGGTGGCTTACAGATGTGACTTCCGACATCCATCCTCCTGGGTGGCCTGGGCCTCCGTTCTCCACCACCTTCTGCCGCTCTGTAAGACGTACAGTAGATGGTGACACATTCTTCCCCTGTAAGCCAGCCAGCTTTAGTCTCTGCGAACTAGAACTAAGAGCCTTCCCAGGTGTGGTGTGCTTGTCTAGAGTCCACGCTGCTCAGAGGCTTGGAAGGATCAATTGAGCCCTGAAGTTGTCAGCCAACCTGGGCAACATAATGGAATCTCATTTTAAAAAAAAAAAAAAAGTTAAAAAATCCTTGACTTATAAATCCTCCCACAAAAATCCTGCAGTAATTGCTACCATAAAGGGTGCCCGAGGTAAAGAGTAACCTTGTGTGAAATAATTCAACCTGTCTTGGCTAATGCCTGTCACGAGTCCAATACTTTGCAGTAACTTAGTTCCTCCGAAGCATCTACTGGGCCAAGGAATTAAGTCTGAAAGAACATACCTGGAGGTGGGGTGCCTGAAAGCTCCTTATGTTTGGGGCCCCTTTGTCTTTCACGTATTCCTACTTCAGCAAACTAGTGTTTATTGAATACACTTTATTTGTGTAACAAAGAAGATTCACACATAGCTCTACACCTCTATCGCGTGGGTTTCCGTTTCCAGCACAGTACATGTACCAGAGCCTGTTTACAAGGATCTTAGAGATAGAAGCAAGAAGACGAAGGGCTAAATTATTTATTTTAGCTGGACAAGGTGATACATGCATTGAATCCCAGCAATTGGGAGGCAGAGGCAGGCAGATCGCTGTGGGTGAGAGGCCAGCCTGGTCTAGGTAGTGAGGACCCTAAAAATTCTGTAACATTCACCCTCCTTCCACATGGCCCTCCCCCATCTCTCCTGGTCCTCTTTTTCCCATGGAACCAGTGCACTTGGATGTGGAGTTCAGAGAACAATGGAGGCTGTTCCTCAGGCTCTCACTGGAGACGGGTTCTCATTGGCCCAGAACTTTATGACTAGACTAATGAATGGGCCGTGAGCTCCAGGGACCCGCCTGTCTGTCTTGCCACTGTTGGAATTGCAAGTGCACATCGCCATCATACCTTACTATGTGCATTCTGCGGGCCCAACTCAGGTCCTCACACTCAGGAGACAAGTGCCTTATTGACAGCCACTCCCACAGCCGCCTTCCTTCCTCATAAAGAAGGAACTGAATCTTCACCCTGTTAACCAGAAAATGTCTCCTGTTTCCCCGCCCGCTTTCCCCCTTTCACAGTGACTAGTATGTTGTGGCTTCAGTCTGAGTGTGTGAATGCCACTGTGGAGATAATAGGCCGAACCAATACACACAGGCTCCAGAGTCCTGATTACGTGATGAAATCGTGCCACCCTTTATTAACAATGAATTATTCTTTGGCTCAAGGAAATTTCTTACCAGTAACCTTACCAAGCCGAAACCATAAAGCCAAACACCAGGGTGTTCCGGCGGTTTACAACAGGACTGCTGTACTTTCTGTCTACTGATCTCATCATTCAGTCAGGTGGACTTGCTTGAGGCCACGTGGCTTAGACCTAAGCCTTGTTCTTCCCATCATCTGATATGAATATCAAAAACCTTAAGACAATAATATAATGACATTACATTAAAAATGAAGTAAATGAGAAGCACAAAAATATTAATTTCAGAAAAATTACCTCATCTAGCTTTAGCCAAAAATAAAGCAAAATCTCACAAATCTAGGTTTTTGGTTTAGTATTTGAAACTCAGTAAATCAGGCTAGTCTCAAACTCAGAGATCCGCCTGCCTCTGCCTCCCAAGGTTTTTTTGGAGTGGGGGTGGGGGTGAGGGTGAGGGGTTTGGTGACAGAGTCTCCCAGCTGGCCTGGGTCTTGCCAAGTCCACCATATACCAGGCTGGGTTCTCCCTGTCTCTATCTCTCCAGAGCTGGGATGACCCAGTTTTCTGGGAACTCACCTACTCTCCTAGCTTGGTTTGTGTTGCTTGTTTTTAATTTTAGCCCTAGTGGGCCTGGAACTTCCTGGGATCCCCCTACCTCTGATTGGGGGCTGGTATCCTAAGTGCTGGGATCACCGGCATGCATTTCCAATGGTCTGACCCAAAATTCGTTCAAACCGGAGAGGAGAAATATTACGTCGCCTGAGCATTGTGACCTACAGGTACTCATGACTTTCCAGTTTCTTTTTAAGAAAACATTTATTAGCCAGGTGGTAGTGGTGGCGCATGCCTTTAATCCCAGCACTCGGGAGGCAGAGGCAGGCGGATCTCTGAGTTGAGGCCAGCCTGGTCTACAGAGCAAGTTCCAGGACAGCCAAGGCTACACAGAGAACCCTGTCTCAAAAACAAAAACAAAAGATTTCTTTTTATTATTATTATTTTTTTTTCGAGACAGGGTTTCTCTGTGTAGCTTTGCGCCTTTTCCTGGAACTCACTTGGTAGCCCAGGCTGGCCTCGAACTCACAGAGATCTGCCTGGCTCTGCCTCCCAAGTGCTGGGATTAAAGGCGTGTGCCACCACCGCCCGACTACTTTTTATTATTTTTTAATTACACGCATGAGTGTGTCTGTGTGGTATGTGCTGGGGGAGGCAGAGGTGGCAGGTCCCTCTGGAGGGACAGGTGGTTGTCACAACCCAATGTGGGTGCTGGGAAGGGGTCGAGGGTCCCCTGCAAGAACAGTGTGAGCTCTTAACCACTGAGCTGTCTCCCCCGCTCTCCAGTTTATTCTCTCATTAAAGAAAGTATTTTCAAGAACATCCTTGGGCTGGAGAGATGGCTTAGGGGTTAAGAGTACTGATTGCTCTTCCAGAGGACCCTGGTTCAATTCCCAGCAACCACATGGCAGCTCACAACTGTCTGTAACTCCAGTTCCAAGGGAACCAACACCTATGGCCCAAAACCAATGCACATAAAAAAAAAAAAACAAAAAAGGAATGTTTGAAAACCAACCAATAAAGAACACACACAAAACAGCAGGAAACTGACATTTTAATACATCTATGCATTGATATAACAAAGAAAAAATCAGTTCTACAGCATCAGTCTTATAACATTTATAATTGTAGTAAAATAAAGATTCACAAGGTTAAATGTCCTTAACATTTAATTTTAATGTTAACCCAAAATTCCTTTAAACGTACAAAATGGCAATATCTTACATTAAAAAACAACAACAATAACAACAACAACAAAACAGCATCTTGCTTTGTAGCCAGGCTCGCTTTGAACTTGACATCCTCCTGCCTCAGTTCCTGAGTGCTAGGCTAGTGTGCACACGCCACCGTATTTTATTTATTTATTTATAAAGTACTTGTGCTCCTCTCCCTCCCCTTTTTTAAGGATTTTTATTTGTTTTGTGTTTTGAGACAAGGTCTCACTGTAGCCGTCAGGCTGGCCTTGGATCTGCAGGGGTAGTAATGCCAGCTTTACTGACACACAAACACAAGCTTGGTCATTCAGCAGCCGGAACTTTCTGGGCCGCTGCCTGCTCCACGTGTTACTTTGGTTTCTCCACTTTGTAAAATCCTCTGGACATGAATTTATGAATTGTCTGAATGGAAGCTCTATTAGGGAGAGACCATAATTCCACACAATGAAATTACTGGATGGACTCCACTGAACAGAAAGAAACCAAAGACAGTGCTTTTCTCCCCCATTTTAATTTTTTTTTTTTTTTTTAAGACAGGATGTCATATAGCCCAGGCTGGCCTTGAACTCACTACGTAGCAAAGGATGACTTTGAACTCCTGATCCTCCTGCCTCTACCTCCCAGGCATTCAACACAATGTATGGTTTATGCCATGCTGGGACTAATCGCCACGCATGCTGGGTAGGTGCTCTATCAACCAAGCGACATCTCCAGCATTAAATTTTTTTTTTTTTTAATAATTTTTGATGTTGCTAGGGATCAGGGTTTCATCTATACCTGCCAGGAAAATCCTCAACCACTGAGATACATCCCCTGCCTGCCAACAATGTCCTTTAAAAAAATTTTCTTATGTATTTTTTTCATATTAAATTTGAATAACATTTCAGTTAGGGCGATTCTTGGTAAGATGAAGTGTACTAATGAGTCAGAGAGGGAATCCAAGTAGACAGAAAGGTGTCATATGCATGTGCACAGGACAGCCTGGGCCATGGGGCTTGGGGACACATGCATATCACCCTGGTTACACATAGGGAGGCAGTGAGGGCCCAGAAGAGGTCACAAACAATAGCAAAACATCCGCTTAAGGCTTCGTGTGGTCAAGGTGACAAGCACAAGACAAAACCTACAGGACACGTGGCCTCCGGTTAGCGGCTGACTGCGGACTGTGTCTTGAGACTAATCCTGTGTAGCTCATCCACTTCACCAACATGTCCACAGTACTCCCTGCGTGAACGTGGCGCTGTATAGTGGCAGGCTCTGTTCTGGATGCACGCGCACTCCTCCTAACCGCCCTCTGAGGTAGGTACCATTTTAGTTTCACTTTACAGAAGAAACAGGCACAGAGGATGAATCAGCTTGCCCAAGATCACAAAGGGTGTGACAACTGATCTTGGCTTCCAGTCCGTGTGAAGGGCGGGACATCCCTAGGAAGAATCTCCTAAGAACTTTCCTTAGGAAGAGAAATTCCTAGAGAAATTGAAGGAAGCAGCCTGAATGGAGGAAAAAGCAACATCCGAACTCAGGACAGTGAGTGACAGGATATCTAAAATGACAACACATTTGAATGAGAAAAACATGGATGTGTACATGGGCGAACATGCACACGGTCTCTCCAGTTTCAGTGAAGGTTCTCTCTCAGTGGGTTTGAAATGTTTAAAATCACACCGTTCAACCTCGGACGGGAAACCAAGCAGAAGATGACCTGGAGGGGCCTGCTTCTCATCCATGAGACCAGCACAGAAAGGCAGTGAATAAATAGTTGGCTATCAAAACAGTCCCAAGCGGTCTAAGAATAACCTTGCGTATCCCAGTTCATTACTTTATCATATTCTTGGATTCTCTGCTTTATGTGAGAAAGTTTGTTCTTGAGGTAATCACAACGCTCCTTCTTTTCCAGAAAGGAAGGATCCTAGGGAAGAAACAGTCATGATTCAGCACCCGCTTTCCTCAGTGATTGACACAGACACATCCTCACACAGAAAACAGCAGAACTACCTGCAGATATGATCTGTATAATTATAACAGTCATGCTTTTTATCAACACAAAACAGCCATGCTTTAGGGTCACAGAAAAACCAAGGGAAATGTAGAGAGTAGAGAGGTACCTTTAGTAATCAAAATATGTGAAGAGCTAAGTGTAGGAAGTATGAATAAATGTCTCTCCCGTATTTTTTCCAACTCCACCCTTTGTGGAATCTCACAAGTCAATAGAGACTCCATGGAGAGACATTAATAATTTAGCTTAAAAGAAACCTGAAGTCTTATCAGTTATCACCCGTGTACCAGGACAAGGACACTTTGACCAAGAAAATTGTTTTTACTCACGTTCTTTTTTTTCCTAAACTCTTCATGGATTCTTGAAATTCTCTCGTGTTCCTAAAAATAATATATTTTTATTTTAGTTTAGTTAAAACATGCATTTACTCAAATCATGTCTCAAAGCACACTGGGAATTAGAACAGAAAACTATTTTTGCCAAGTACGGTGGCATCTGCCTATAATTATGGCACTTGAGGGCAGACGTAGGACCACTATGAATTCAAAGCCAGTCTGGGCTACAGAGGGGGACCCTGCCTCAAAAACAAACTTTCCCATTTTTTGCCCAAAGCTGGAATGAAAATAATTACACAAAAATATAATTCACTAGACAAACATTTGCACACTAACTACCTGCCAGGCACTGGTCTCTGGGAGTGGAACAAGCACTGTGTGACCCTGGGTAAACCATCTGTCCTAAGATTCTTTTCCCCCGACAAATAATATCCATAACCACCTCAAATGGTTGCCAGGAGGTTCACTTATTTACAATGAGCCTGATAAAGAGCTTGGTACGTAAAAACCACCACACGGGCCGTTACCATCATCTCCACCCTCCTTGGAAAGCGCCTCCTCATGAATCAGGTGTTTGAGTAAGAGGCTGGGACTATTCAGCTCCTGAGAAGAGCTAATAGAAGGTCCTTCTAATTTTATATATATTATACATTTTATAATAAATACAAAGATAAGATTTGTGAAGAGGATGACTCTCCGGTAAGTCAGAGGACTACAGAAATGTTTCCATTTATTCTTGAATGCCTTGTTTTTCCTTACACAACTTCCTTCGAGACAAGATCTCACAAATGTTGCCTTGGCCTAGAACCCCTGGGTTCAGGAGCTTCTCCTGCTCGGCTCCCAAGTAGCTGGGACTGCAGGCTGTGTCGCCACACACGGCTTTTCTTGCACACCTCTGAAGACCTCTCAACTTGGTCACCCTTTCAGACCCGTGGACCTGCGGATTTTCCAAATGGTAGTAACTGACCCACTCTTTCAGCGTTTGCTAGATTTCTCCTGCTTCCTGGAACTGGTGTTTCTTAGTTAACATTCCATTGCTTTAGGGTCAAGGAAATGTCACTACTATATATATATATCTTAGAGAACTCATAATCAAGATCAATTTAAACGTATACTATACATACATGATAAAAAGAAAGACCCCCCCCCCCAATTAATGTAGGTTCTCAGAAGAAAAAAGTGTGTGTGTGTATTCAAATATATATTCTTTTTGTTATTTATTTATTCATTTGGTTTTTCAAGACAGGGTTTCTCTGTGTAGCTTTGCGCCTATCCTGGAACTCACTCTGTAGCCCAGGCTGGCCTTCAACTCACAGAAATCCGCCTGGCTCTGCCTCCCAAGTGCTGGGATTAAAGGCGTGCGCCACCACCGCCTGGCTCTTTGAGACAGGGTTTCTTGCTCTCCTGGAACTCAATCTGTGGACCAGGCTGGCCTACTCACAGAGATCTGTAGTGGGTAGCTGTTCCAGCTTTGACCTGGAAGTACTACCTCCAGTGAGGCTTCTGGTAATTGTCACGCCTACCTATGACCTTCCCCTGAGGCGGGGCCAAGATGGGAACCCTTAAGGCCCGAGATCCGGATGTGCTGGCTCTCTTGGTTCCTGGTGATCCTGATGCTGGATGGTAGACGGAGCAGAGTTCTCCAGAGAACCCAGCTGGACTGCACCTCACCTCTCCCAGATCCTATAACCTATCCCTTTACTTGTTGTAAGCTACTCCAAAATAAATCTTTTTTAACTACGTGGAGTTGCCTTATTAACTCACCCACTAGAGAGCCACCTGCCTCTGCCTCCAAAGTGCTGGGATTAAAGGCGTGCACCACCATTGCCTGGCTCAGATATATACATTCCTTTTGGCATTTTTTTTTTTCGTTTTTCGAGACAAGGTTTCTCTGTGTAGTTTTGGTGCCTGTCCTGGATCTCGTTCTCTAGACCAGGCTGGCCTCAAACTCACAGAGATCTGCTTGGCTCTGCCTCCTGAGTTGTGGGATTAAACGGCATGTGTCAGCCACTGTTGCCTGGCTTTGACACTTTTTTGTTTGTTTGTTTGTTTTTCGAGACAGGGTTTCTCTGTAGCTTTGGAGCCTGTCCTGGACTAGCCCTGTAGAGCAGGCTGGAGACACTTTTTTTTTTTTAAGTTACATGAAGGACCAGGTAGATGGCTCAGTTGTTTTGTTTGTTTTTTGAGACAGGGTCCTACTATGTAGTCCTCACTGGCCTGGAACTTACTCTGTAGACCAAGCTGGCTTTGAACTCACAGAGATTGCCTGCCTCTGTCTCCTGAGTGCTGAGATTAAAGGCCAGTGCCATCTATGCCTGGCCACCTTGTATCTTTTTTCCTTTCTTTCTTTCTTTCTTTCTTTCTTTCTTTCTTTCTTTCTTTCTTTCTTTCTTTCTTTCCTTCCTTCCTTCCTTCCTTCCTTCCTTCCTTCCTTCCTTCCTTCCTTCCTTTCTTTCTTTTTTTTAAGGTTTTTCGAGACAGCGTTTCTCTGTGTAGCCCTGGCTGTCCTGGATCTCTCTCTGTAGACCAGGGTGGCCTCGAACTCACAGAGATCCACCTGCCTCTGCCTCCCGAGTGCTGGGATTAAAGCCGTGCACCACCACTTCCCAGGTTACTCCATATTATTTTTAAAAGAATGTTTCAGAGAAAACTTTCTTTCCTTCCCACAGTTACTGTCTCCACCACGGCTTTCCCCTTTGCTTTTATCCTGGTGGTCTCTCGGCTGTGGCTGTCTAGGGCTTAGCTCTGCTCTCAGCCATCCCCACAGTACTCGCTTCCCTTTGGGACTGAGAAGGTTGAGGAATGCACTGCCCATGACCCCTCCTGGGATGATTCTACTTTGAGTGTGCCATTTGTGTCCTTCAATACTCTGACAGTATGTATCTTTGGCAAGCTCATATTTTACTTCAATAGGAAAATAAAGTATTTAATAACTGAAGGTGGGGGGGCTGAGGATGACTGTGCTGTCTGCCATACACGAGACCCTTCGATCCCCAACACCAGATAAAAAGACAAAAGGAAGGCAATGGTAAAAGACCTTAAGTTATATACTTTGTTAACTGTTTTCTTTTCTTTCTTTTTTGTTTTTTGTGGCACTGGGATCTAACCTAAGGCCTTCTGCAGACAGTGATCCACTGTCGGGAATGGAAATGCTGCCTGGCCAAGCCTGAGGATCTCAAACACCTTCCCAGACAACAGATAGGTGTTTGAGCATCCTAAAACCGTGGGAGTCCACCCCTCCGCACTCAGCCTCCTCTCAGCAGCTGTGGGCACTGACCTGGTGGTTTTCAGAATGACGTGGCAGCCTGCTCATCACCGCGTCCAGCTCATCGAACTTCCTCAGGATGGCCTGCACTTCCGAGGACAGCTCTTTGTACTCGGAGAACTGGTCCTGGAACACAGCTTTATAGCGTTCTCGATCGTCATCCGTCCGAATCACAGGATATTTTCTGAGGGAAGAATCACAGATCAGAGTAACAACTTCACCCGCCAGGAAGTCTGTGGTGGTGTGCTTCCCTAGCATGCTCAAGGCCCTGGGTTCTATCTGCAGAGTGGAAAACATTGTAACTTTTACTAAAACAAGCTGAGTAGGTGACATGGGTCAGCTAACCCAGTGGCCAGACTGGGCGTACCTTTCTTATTTTCCAGTGTTACCCTGGATAACAATGACCGTTCGGGTAACGACTTTAAGCACAGTACTGTCTTGAGGACAGACTAATAGACGAAGGTCCAAATGGGAGAGCTAGAAAAACTGAGACGGAGAGGCGGGTGGATCTCTGTGAGTTCGAGGCCAGCCTGGTCTACAAAGCGAGTTCCAGGAAAGGCGTAAAGCTACACAGAGAAACCCTGTCTCGAAAACAACAACAACAACAACAAAACAAAACAACAATGAAAAACTGAGCCAGACTCACGCCACATAGTCGGGCATCACGATGGGCTTGGGAATGTAGCCCGGAGGGATGTGTCCACTCAGGAGTTCAGGGGTCATTTTCGTTGTCCTCAACTCTTTGAAATTAGCTTCTTGGTCTCTCTGTCTGTCATTGGTGGCCACTTCACACTGCAGTAAAAGAGAATAAGAAGTGATGTGTACGAGGGAGTGGGGAAAGAGTCCACCCAAGCTACTGGGAAAAAACAAAGCAGAGTAGGAAGAAGACAAGTAAAAAACAGTATCATTTAGAGCTCTGTGTCTTATACACACAATGGTGTTCTCGACGATACAGCTGAACAGTCACATCTGGAAGAGGCAAGCACCTCCCACTCCTAATCAGCATATTACGAAAGCAGATGATGAGAAGGGCTTGGTGCTTCATGACTAACTCCAGCACCTGGGAGGCTGAGGCAGAAGGGTTGCTGTGAGTTCAAGGCTACCCTGAGAAGGGGCTGGTGAGATGGTGCAGCAGGGTAAGGGTGTGTGAGAATGCCCCCCTCCCCTCCCCCACAGCTCATATGTTTAAATGCTTGGTCCCCAGTCGGTGGAACTGTTCGGGAAGGATTAGAAGGTGTGGCCTTGCTGGAGGAGGTGTGTCACTGAGGGTGGACTTTGAGGTTTCCAAAGACTGATTTCATGTTCAGTGTGCTCTCTGCCTCCTGCATTCAGATCAAGATGTGAGCTCTCAGCTGCTTCAGCCAACATGGCTGCTGCTTCCTGCCACATGCCTGGGCATGACAGACTTCGTTAGACCACTGAAACCATAAGTTTAATTAAATGCTTTCTTTTATAAGTTGTCTTGGTCATGGTATTTTATCACAGCAATAGAAAAGCAACTAATACAAGGTGCTTGCTGTCAAGCCAGAGGACGTGAATTTGATTCCCGAAACCCACAGGGTGGAAAGAGAGAATGGGCTCCTGCACATTGCCTACTGACCTCCACACTCATGCTGTGGCACATGTATGTGCACACATACAAACGAAACAAATGTAAGAAAAGCTGGAAAGTACTTTTTTTTCTTAAGTGGGTGAAGAAGGCTTTGGGTACAGCTCGTTGGTGTTGTGTTAAGGAATATTTGTTTACCTATGCAAAGATGTGTTGCATTTGTTTAATTATGTAAAGATGTGTTGCTATTTCACCTTCCCTGACTAAGGCACCTGATTGGTCTAATAAAAAGCTGAACAGCCAATAGCGAGGGAGGAGGTATAGGTGGGACTTCCGGGCAGGAGAGTAAGCAGGAGGAGGAATTTAGGCTTGAGGAAGAAAGAAAGGAAGAGGACAGGGAGACACCAGGGGCCAGCAAGCCAGACAGACATGGAGGAGGCAGGAAAGTAGGGCATACAGAATGGAAGAAAGGTTAAAAAGCCCTGAGGCAAAACACAGATGAAGAGAAAGAGGTTAAATTAAGTTAAAAGAGCTAGTGGGACGAGCCTAAGCTAAGGCTGAGCATTTCATAATTAATAATAAGTCTGTGTGTCTTATTTTGGGAGCTGGCTGGCGGCCCAAAGGAAATGCCACTACAGCACTGGGCTTGTCTGGTGTGCATAAAGCCCTGGGTTCGACTTCCCACGTCTACCACATGAGAAGTGACAAATCAGAGTCTAAGTACAGACTTTTTCAGGATTTACACCCCAGGCAAGAATGGGAAATACAGTTCAAAATAAGAAAATCTGCCGGAAGAGTGTCCCAAGCCTACTTAAGTGGAAAGAGGAAAAAGCGACAGTGGGGACCTGATATGAGTCGGTTGGAAGCAGCCAGTGTGAAGGGGAGGGGAGTCACACTGTCTTCATTGTCTGAAAGGGAAAGCGAACACTCCGCGTTGAAAGTTGAAAGACACTTTCTCAAGGTGTGGTGGCACACACCTGTTCAGCACATCAGAGACTGTGGCAAGAGGATCAGCCTGAGGCTAGCCTGGGCTACACAGCAAGATCCTGTCTCATAGAAACCAGAGGGAAACAACAACACTCCAGAAAAAAGAAAAAAAAAAAAAGCTTTTCTGACATCAGTCTTTAAGAAGAGCTTGCTCGGACTGTGCAGAGGACAGGGAGCAGGCTTGTCTCACCTCAGGCTGTGAGCGTTCTCAAGCTGTGGCCTTGGGCCTCTGGAAAGCCTACAGGCAGTAGTTGGTGGATTAAAGCCACACCCTTCAATAAAAATGTTACTTATTCAGGAAAGAGGGAAAAATGGCTGAGAGAAGGTCTGGGAGAGGTTTCTATTAAAGCCAGCGTTAGGGGCATAGCAGTGGGAGGTGCAAAGGAATCTTCTAGAATAGGCAGTCAAAGGCAGTTCAGCATTCAACTGCACTGCACCCAGGACACCAGCCAAGGCTGGTAGATGCCAGAAGAAGGGTCCGCTACATAAGAGGTGAGGTTCAGAGAAGGAAAGTAAACTCTGTAAGTGTTTGATTTTTGTGATGCTGGAGACCGAACCCAGAGGTTTTGAGCATGCCAGACTAGTGTTCTACCGACAGACTACACCCTAAGCCAAGGTTCACTGACACTTGAAATGAACAAGATGCAGAAACCTGTTTAATTAAACGTATATACGGCTCACATGCTAAACTGCCCTGAAGTTCTACAAGCACCCTAGAAACGAGCCTGATGAACGAGGCAGGCCATACCAGCCACGGCCGGAGGAAGATAAGGCCCTGCCTGGAAACCTGGTTGTTCTCTGATACAGAAACTTCTTTCTGCTCTCCCAAAAACAAAGGTACAAAGAAGGGTTTTGAAGTCTTGCCCTCTACCGCTTACGGCAGCTTTTAAAGGTCCTTTATTTTCCTACTTCCCTGCTTCCGGACTGGTCTTGAGGTTTAACATCAGCCCACGGTTGAAGCCACCGGCTCTTACCTCACCGAATGGCACAGGCCTGAGCTAGTGGAGGTTGCTAACCAGCCCAAGGAAAGGGACCAGGAAAGGAGAAGCTCCAAGCCCACAAGCCACTGGGACCCAAAGCAAACAAGTCGGGGCAGAGTAAGGAAACAGGAACGAGGACGTCTTGCTGGTGTGGTCTGAATGCAAACGGCCCCCACGGCTCAGATGTTTGAATACCTGGTCCCCAGTTGGTGGAACTGCTAGGGAAGGATCGGGAGGTGTGGCCTTGCTGGAGGAGGTGCGTCACTGGGGGTGGGCTTTGAGGCTTCCAATGGCCATGACGTTCCCAGTGTGTGTGTCTCTCTCTGCCTCCTACTTACTCTCAGCTGTTCCTGCCATCATGCCTTTGCTCCACTACCACAGATTCTAGCTCTGAAACCACAAGCCCCACATTAAATGCTGTCTTTTATAAGTTGCCTTGGTCACGTTGTTTTATCACAGCAATTGAAAAGTAACTGAGATGGGGGGGGGGGATATGCATTTTGAGGACCATGTTCATTCTGCTGTGATCTCTGCAGCCTAGGGCGCTGTTCATCATTCAAGGAATATTTTGACTTGAATAAATGGATTTCTATTTCTTTTTTAAATAAATAAATAAATAGAATGTATTTATTTATTATATATATAGTATTCTATCTGCATGTATGCCTGCAAGCCAGAAGAGGGCACCAGACCTCATTACAGATGGTTGTGAGCCACCATGTGGTTGCTGGGAATTGAACGCAGGACTTCTGGAAGGACATTCAGTGCTCCTAACCTCTGAGCCATCTCTCCAGCCCCCAGATTTCTTTAGCACTGAACTATCTGACACTCGAGACTTCTGCGTGCCGGCTCAGGAAGCCACTACAAGAGGGCACTGATATGGAACAGCCCTTAGGCATACAGCTCTGATTTCCTGGTCAAAAACATGAATTTGGCCCAGGCAGACACACTGGATGGCAAAGTCCAAAATTAATTACTGTTCTAGGTAAAACAAACAAACAAACGAACAAAACCCTAGTAAGTACTATTCATTTTATTCATTTGTGTGCTTGTTTTTGAGGGGAGTTTCACTCTACCCCAAACTGGTCTGGAACTCACTATGTAGCCTGGGCTGGCCCCAAACTCACGGCTATCCTCTTGCTCCAGCCTCCTGAATGTGGGTTACAGGTTTGCGCCACCGCCTGGCTCAAGCAATCCCTTGCATTACTTGCTCATACCTACTTCTCAGGTTTACCTGTTAATGTGAGAAGAAAGCTTTAGCGTGGGAGGCGGGTGGCGGTGGCACACACCTTTAATCCCAGCACTCAGGAGGCAGAGCCAAGCGTATCTCTGTGAGTTCGAGGCCAGCCTGGTCTAGAGAGCAAGATCCAGGACAGGCTCCAAAACTACACGGAGAAACCCTGTCTTGAAAAACAAAACAAAAAACAAACAAACAAAAAAAAGAAAGCGTGGGATTGGGCTCCAGCCCTGGGACGAGCCACACTTTCCTAGTGACAAGCACATTTGCGGAAGGAGAGAGAGGCTGAAGAGCCAAGGTCTAACATGGCCTCTTTCCTGTTTCTTAACTGAAACCCTTTCTGCTAGCAAACACTGGCAATGCTCTACTATGGTCCCAGAGGAAGGAATTAAAGGTCGGGGCAGATGGGTGATGCTACAGAATTTACTATGCCCTTCAAACTAAAAGCGGGCTGAGTGGACAGCCCGTGGATTAGAAGCTCGGAGAGCAGATCTGTCCAATGCACACCTGTGCAAGTTCCGGTGTTCCCTGAGTGTGCACACAGGCCTGTCAACCATCTGCAACTCCAGCTCCAATGACCCTCTAATGGCCACCAAGGGCATTCACATACACGGCATACATTCACACACACACACACACACAAATAAAAAAATAAAAATGAATCTTGAGGCTGGAGAGATGACCCAGCACTTAAAAGCACTGGCTGTTCTTCCAGAGAACTCAGATTCTATTCCCAGCACCCCCATGGCAGTTCACAATAATCTGTAACTCTAGTTCCAGGGGATCTGACACCCTTTTCTGGCCCCCATGAGCATGCACGCATGTGGTACACAGACATATTAACAGACAAAACCCTCATCACATAAAATAAAAACAAATAAATCTTTAAAAATATTATTTTAGTCAAGGGGGAGAATGTATACCTTTAATCCCAGTACTCAGGAGGTAAAGACAAATGATCTCTGAGAGTTCAAGGCCAGCCTAGTCTACATAGAGAGAGTTCCAGACCAGGCAGGTCTACAGAGTGAAACCCTGTCTAAAAAAAAAAAAAATCTTGCGTCTCAAAATCTCATAGTCTCAAAAAAATTGTTATGATTAAAAAAATCATAAAATATAAACAATAAGGTTCAGACCAAAACTGAACAGGAAATTCAAGTTCAGAGAAGAGAAGTCATTTCCACGGGATCAAAGGGCAAAAGCCAGCTGCACTGGGGCCCTGACTCAGAGCAGTCTAATTCTGAAGCTGTCTCCTCTTCTCCAGGTGTCACACTCCCTCCCAAGCTACTCTGCCAAACCATCCCTGCTATGACCCAGGGAAAAGCAGGTGAAAAATCACACCCATGAAAAGTCGGGGTTCTGGAACATTCCGTCAGGTTTCTCATGGGTTAAGTCCAATGGATTAATGGGAGTCCTTCTTAGAATATACGTAAGCTTTTTCTGCAGTGATCCATCTCCAGAGAGGCCTTTAAAAGGATGTGTTTTGGCTTCAGCCTCCTTATAAGAGTCAGGGAAACTGGAGATCGAGTGATTTCCAAAGTAAGAATGTGCATTCCAGCCAGGCACAGTAGTGCACACCTTTAGTCCCAGCACGTGGGAGGCAGAGGCAGGCAGAGTTCAAGGCCAGCCTGGTCTACAGCGAAGTTCCAGGACAGCTAGAGCTACACAGAGAAACCCTGTCTAAGAAAAAAAGGGGGGGGGGGCATTCTACCATTTTCCTAACTATTCCAGGACCTCTACGTCTTCCTGGCTTTTTCGGCTGACCCTACTCTTCACTGAGTTCCATCGGTAAATCCCACTGCCGTCAGTGGGAATAACCAGGAAGCCATACATTCTACAAGAACAATTGGACAAGAACAAGTACTACCACGTCACTGTCATATCGCAGCCCAGTGAGATGATGCTGGCCAGCCTGGTCCTGGGAAACAAGCAGTTGCAAAGTGGACACCTTTAAATGCCCCCAAAGATGATTTACAAATGGCTAGCTGGCTGGCTGAATGGATGGATGGACGGATGGACGGATGGATAAATGAATGGATTACAGTAATGGGGACTAAGCCCAGAGCCTCAAACACATTAGGTAGGCAAGCATTCTCCCGCTGACATTTATATCGAGGATATTTTGAACATACTTCCAAACATTAGCATTCTGCATACTTTTGATACTAGATCTTGACATTATCTGTTAATGAGTGTTAGCATCATAAAATGTTATTTCCCATATGAAATGTGTGTGTGTGTGTGTGTGTGTGTGTGTGTGTGTGTGTGTGAACTGCCATGCTTAAGTTTCCCCCCCTGAGTTTTTCCTTCGATGACGGACTGTGATGTTGATGTGTAAGTGAAATAAACCCTTCCCTCCCCACGTTGCTATGGTCATGGTGTTTCATCACAGCAATAGAAACCCTAACAGAGACAATGACCTTGAACTTCTGATTCTCCTGCATTTACCTTCCACATGCTGGGATTACAGTCATAGGCCACTAGGCCCAGTTCACGTGGTGCTAAGGAGGGAATCCAGGGCTTTGTACGTGCTAGGCAAGTACTCTAGCAACTGAGCCATATCCCAGTCTCAGGAAGAATGATTTCCATTGAAGGAAATTAGCCAGGCATAGTTAGTAAGCCAAGAGTCCCGGAGCACAGGAGGCAGAAGCCGGAGCAGAATGCATTAAAGGCCAGCCTGGGCCACACAGCAAGAACTTATCTCAGACAAACAAACACAGAAGGAAGACCAGCCATGTTCACTTACAAAACATTCATGTAACAAAATGAAAAGGGGGTCTAGGGAAGACCACCTAATTTGATCCTTACGGTATCAGAAAAAAAGCTGGAAGTCTTCATCCAAGCTCAGGATCAGTTTCACACACAGATGATTCTATTGTCCACAAATACACACAAGGGATAAACGTTTATCACATCTACAGACAGAGCATACTTAGTTCATGTTGCTCTTACCATTCTCCTTTTTGATGACAACGATGGGTCATTTACCTGGAATAACAACAACAAAAGAGTTAAAACGATTTCTCAAGGGGCTGAGGAGCTAGCTCAGCAGTCTGGAGTGCTTACTGCTCTCGGAGAGACTCACAACTGCCTGTAACTCCAGCGTCAGGGAATCTCACGCCCTCTTCTGGCCCCCACATGCAAGTGCATGTTACACACACACACACACACACACACACACACACACACACACACACACACTATATATATATATATATATATATATATGCTATTTTGCAAATGTTTCCATCCATTTGCACTTCTAGCCCAATCTCAACGTCCAGAAGTTGACCCTCTCCTTGATGTTCATTCTCCATACTTGTTTGCCTAGATTTCTATGGGCCAGTGGGGAACAGAGGATGATGGGTAACCGTAGTTCCCTGTGAACAAGGAGCATGGGGAGGATGCGGAGCTATGGGAAAGGTGGGCACTATTAGGTAAGTTGCTTGAATGACCTAGATTTTATTTATTTCTGGTTACTTTATCTTGGGTGATTTGATTGTTTTGTTTGTTTGTTTGTCTTACGAGATACGATTTTGCTATGTAGCCTAGGCTAGCCTAGAACTCACTGCATGATCAGGCTGGCCTAAATCTTGTGGCCATCTTCTTGCTTCTGCCCCAAGTGCTGGCATTACAGGTGTGACCCACCATGCCCAGCACTTTGGATAATTAAAGCTGATATAGTCACTTTATAAAATTAATAGGAAAAAACAAAGGCTGTTATATCACCTTCAATAATTCAAGTTTAATCAAATATTGTAAAAAAAATTATAGAAAGTTTTTAAGATAAACACACTGACTTACACCTGTAATTCTAACTCTCTGGGAGGCTGAGGCAGGAGAACTGTGGTGAGTTGCAAGCCATCCTGAGCTATACAATCAGTTTGAGTCCAACCTGGGCTACACAGTGAGACCTCCTCTCCAATAAAACAAAATTAGTTGTTGGGGTTCTGGGATTTTTTTTTCCAAAAAATATATATGGGTTTCTCTGTGTAGCCCTGGCTGTCCTGGAACTCACTGTGTAGACCAGGCTGGCCTCAAACTCAGAGATTCACCTGCCTCTGTCTCCGAAATGCTGGGATTAAAAGCATGTGTGCCACCACCACCTGGCACAAAATAAGTTTTTGCTGAAGGAAAAACATTATAAAAACAAAAACCAAACCAAACCAACAAACAAAAGAAACATTCTTGAAGTGCTGAAGTACATTTTTAGAAGTAACTTTGTAAAATTCATGCTAGAACATTCTAAGTATCTTGATTAACACAAAAGTGTTATAAAAAACCATTTGCAGGGCCAGACATAGTGGAGTACACTTTTCATCCCAGCAGAGGCTGAGACAGACCTCACAGATCTCTGTGAAGTCCTGGTCTACACAGTGAGTTTTAGGCCAGCTGGGGCTACACAGTGAAACCATGTCTCAAACAAACAAACATACATCACATTCATAAAACGTGCTCCTAAAGGGATGGGGTTTAAGCTTGACTTATACATGTGCAATTATATAGACTCTAGAAGGCCAGGGAAAGTAGGAATTCAAACATTTACAACATGGTCAACTTAATTAGGGACAAATTAAAGGCAAACAATACTTTCAGTGGAATAGGAGGTTCCACCGCACCTCCTGGAAGACAGTGAAATATCAACTTATTTCAGGGCATACAGAAAGTAGCACAACATACCTAGTGTTTGCTACTGTCAAATAATTTTAAATGGAATTTTTTACATGATCTTATCCATTAGATATCACCATCATTTTTTCTCTATGTTATTCTCATTACTTATTGATTATTTTCATTGTTATTTTTAATAAGTAAAAGCCAAGGAAGAAAAACAAATGCAGTCGTTTCTTATTTTGGAATACAGACCTCTCCAAAATAATGACCAACCATTAAAAGCCACTAGGCATGTTTACCACAACTCAGTCATTTAGTGTTTGTTTTTAAAGCAAACACAACCACCACATTCATTCTGTTTTTGCTTTTTGGGACAGGGGCTTGAAAAGGAGCCCAGGCTGACCTCAAACTACACGCTCAGGCTGGCCTTGAACTCACAATCGTCCTGCTTCAACTTCCCAACAGCAAGAGTTACAGGCTTAAGTCACCATTCCCATTAGCTATAGTGTGTGTGTGTGTGTGTGTGTGTGTGTGTGTGTGTGTGTGCACTGTTGGTGTTGGTTTATATGCCTACACATTACACACACGTGGAGGCCAACCTAAGGGGTTAGTCCTTAGGTGCCGTCCACCTTTTGTTTGAGACAGGGTCTCCACTGGCCTGGAATTTTGCCATCAAGGGCCAAGCTAGATAGTCCTGGAGCGTCAAGGCATCCTCCTGCCTCCACCTCCCACCTCCCAGCCCTGGGAGTACAAGTGCATGCTAACAACTTTGTACTTCTTCCAGAGATCGAATGACTTCTTGCTCAGGTCCCCATGACTGAGCCCCCCTCGCCCCCCCACCCCCAACCCCTAGCTTCTTAGTCTTACTTAGTGTTACTTCACTGGGACGGGGAGGGAGTAAATTGTAGTATTTAAATGAGTACTTCCTTCCTGGGAGTGAAGTATTTCCCGGGTTTTTATGAAATTTGATCTTAGGAAGGAATCAAAGCTGTTCCTGAACTTGCTTTGATGATGAGACACTTCAGTGAGCCACCACAGCAGTTAAGAAGCTACTTGGACATGCGGTAGGGTTATCCAAAGTAAGCCGCTGAGCAGGGACTCTTGAAATCCAGCTCATTTAAACGCAGATACAGATCTAGGCTTTGACAATGCTTCGAGGCTGTTGTATTTTTAGCAGCAACAGGAAAACCAACCAACGCCAAACAAAAGGTATGGAGAAGTCACGTTACCTCCTGCTGCTGCTCCATGTGCTCCACGTACTCCCTGTGTCTCCGCGCTGCCTCATGCCTCCACAGCTTCAGACAGATCAGGGCGCTGATGAGGTAAACTATCATGGTGACAAACAGAAAGATCATCGCAGCTATCTGACCTCCTTCTACCCGGCAGAACACCGCATTCATGGGCGTGTTAAATAATGGATAGTAGCAGAGTCCGCCTCGGTTGGTATCGTTCACATAGACGATGGCTGCAGCCATGTACAGGATAAACAGGGCAACGTTAACTCCAAACTCCGTCAGGGGCCACCAGTTGGAGTCCAAAAGAATGGTGCGGTAATACATGGACATGCCAAGCACCAGAATAATAATAGTGGCGACCCAAGCCAATCCGGCCACCACGAGTACAAAAGGGGTCTTGGGGCCGCTGTAGTAATAACCCCCATATGTGCTCCCCAGGGTGCCGAGACCTCCGGCGCCGTAGGGCTGTGAATACCCAAACAGGTTGTACCACTCGTTGTCCTTGTGGATGTAAGCTGTGACACAGGCGAAGACGCCAGCCCCCAGAAGCAGCTCTGCCACACCCAGAATTCTCAGCAGGCCTGCCCAGGACTTCATGTAGGCGTACCGCAGGTTGTACTCCTCCACCTTCTCGCTGTAGGTGCGCGCCGTCTGCGTGCGCCGGTCTAGGGATGCACAGGGGTCCTGGGCAAACATGGCATCCGCCTCTTGCTGGGAGTTAAAGGTGCCTTCTGACCCTCCGGAGGGGTCTTTGTAAGAAGAGCTGGGTGGGAGGTGGTTTGGTCTCGCTGGAGAGGCCGGAGGCGAACACTCCACACCATCGGAGATGTATCTGATATCAGACACCGGCTTATCCCATTCCGGGTCCCTTTTCTTCCCTCTGAAGAAGTTCTTCCAGGAGTCGGGGACAAAGCGCCGGACCGGCTTGAGGTCTGGGGCTATGGCTGGTCCCTCTGTGTCACTTGAGTAGAAGCTCGGGCCAAATGGTGGCTGTAATGGGAGAGGGGGAGGCGGCAGAGGATCCGCGCTCACGGCCAGCTCACTGCTGTGCAGGGACTGGAGGGTTCTTATGGTACCATCTGGACCAGGCATGTCCCCTGGAACCTCACTATAGCCCCTGTCCCGAATCCTGGACCTTCCATCACTTGACGACATTTGTGATTTTCACACCTGTGACCAAGACTAAAGTTATTACTTATGTCTACTTACTTTATCCTCCATAAATAAAATCCAGGTATTTTATTCACTTAGTTGCAAAAAGGATTCAGGAGGCAAACGTGATTATATCCAAGTACTATTGCATATAAAATGATAAACACATTTTAAACACATGTACCAATTAGATCATCCAGATACATAGTTAAGTATTCTACGCCATTGCATTTTAAGTGCAATAAAAAATTTAAATATTAGTTTTGAATTTTTTTTAAACATTTTTTGTCTTTTTTTTTTTTTTTTTTTTTTGGTTTTTCGAGACAGGGTTTCTCTGTGTAGCTTTGCGCCTTTCCTGGGACTCACGTGGTAGCCCAGGCTGGCCTCGAACTCACAGAGATCCGCCTGGCTCTGCCTCCCGAGTGCTGGGATTAAAGGCGTGCGCCACCACCGCCCAGCGTCTTTTTTATTTTTTATTTTTATTTTCCCAGAGCTGAGGACTGAACCCAGGGTCTTGCACTTGCTAAGCAAGCGCTCTACCACTGAGCTAAATCCCCAACCCCTAGTTTTGAATTTTATATACTAAAGCATTTAAGTCTACTTTATGTATGGGGCCTATGGACAAAATATAAAAAAAAAACCCAAAAACAAAAAACCCCAAAACTTAAACAATACAGAATGCTAACATATTTCCAAGTACAATTTTCTTTAGACATCTAAATCAAAATATTTAAGTCTGAGTGTGTCAAGTGGTGGTGGTGCACGACTTTAATCCCAGCACCTGGGAGGCAGAGGCAGGTGGATTTCTGTGAGTTTGAGGCCAGCCTGGTCTACAAACCGAGTTCCGGGGCTGTTACAGAGAAACTATGTATCAAAAAAAAAAAAAAAAAAAAAAGGAGTCTGAGCATACCAAAATTTGATGGGTCAGCAAATACTCTTTTTTTTTTTTCTTCATAGCTCACATTTGCTTTGGAATGGCCAAGAAGCCATTAGAGCACTCTTTAGACACAGCAAGCATGTGGCCTTTCCCTTTCTAATCAAAAAAAGTTAGCTGAGGGGTTAGAGCAACGGCTCAGAGGTGGAGAGCACTGGCTGCTCTCCTGGAGGACCTGGGTTCAATTCTCAGCACACACACATGGGGGCTCAGAATCAGCTATGACCCAAGTCCCGGGGATATGACGCCATCTTCTGGCCTGGGGGGGGGGACTGCGTCCATATGGTGCACTGACGTACAGCCATCAAACCACCCATCCTACAAAATAATAAAACAAACAAGTGAAAAAGTTAGCTGAGAGGGCTTGCTTCTTCCCTCCTAAAATATTAACATTCCGCACCAGATTTTAGAAACTAAGTTCTCAGAGGTAAAAACATCAAAGGCCGTGGGTCCCCAGAAGTGTAAAACAGCAGCAGCCCTAACTATGAATATCACTGTTCCCAGAGCAGTTACCTAAAGGCAATTTGCTGTTACCATGGACAACGAAAGCATCTTAGGAGGAATTTAATATACCTGAGAAAATTATTGAAAGCACTTTGACTAAGCCCATTGCCTTCCTTGATAAAAGCAATGACCTAAATATGTGCCGAATAAGGGGAAAAAAAAAAAAACACTTGCTGCTGAAGTACTAGGTTTGAGGCACACCGAATTTCTGCCTTTAACTGTTTATGCCTTTTCATTGGATATTCAACTAGACATATGGTACTACACTTGAAATTATGACAAAATAAAATGTGTGCTCTCATCTTTCAGGTGTTGAACAATTTGGAAATCCTAAGGCATTGTCTTACTTTGTAAAATAGAGACCCCCTTAGTCAACGAAGATCAACTGAGGACCATGGATAGATCAGGCACACTGAGGTTTTATTTAACTTCCCTGGTTTTTATGCAACTTGAAGTCCAACTGTGGGCAGCAGGTGGTAAGTGAAATGCATGATGCACCAAGGATCAACGTTTTCAGGGGGGAGCAGGGAGCGCATCGCGGGCAGGGTGTTGTTTTAGCACGGCCAGGGGAGTCTTCTGGAGAAAGTGGCGAATATGGAAAAGGGGGAAAGAGGAAACCAAACAGATGCCTCAAAGAACTGCTCCAGGGAAGTGAAACAGCTACAGTTGGAAGTCCCCAAAGCCCTCTGGGACGGCCTTACATGCTAAGGGGATGCCAGATCAGAGACACAGCAGAATGAGACACGTGGTAGAACCGAAGCCAACTGAATCACCTAAGACCTTAAATCCACTGGCTATTCATGAGTGGTAAGAAGCCATCAGAGGATTCTGAGCTGAGGAGTGACGTGATCCAATCTCTTTGGATCTGGTGTTTAGAGTTCCGTCCAGAGGGGAAGGCTAAGATAAAGAGGCTGCTGATACGATCCAAAGCATCATGGTGAGAGCCTTGGAGACAGCGAGGCCTTGCATTCTAGACACAGGGAACGTAAAGTACGCAGTGACAGAAGAATTTAAACATAATCACAAGTGGAAAGGGTAGTATTCGGAACCCTTCTTGTACCACACAGATCAGCTCCAACAACTACTCATCTAGACCAATCAATCCTATCCACTTCTCTTTCCCTGTCCTCTTCCTCCTCTGTCAGGAGAGATTACTTAGAAGCAAGTGCCAGAGGGTCTGGAGAAATGGCTCAGTGGTTAAAAACAATGGCTGCTCTTCCGGAGGACCTGGGTTCAATTCCCAGCACTCACATGGAGGCTCACAACCAAGGGTAACTCCAGTTCCACTGGGTCTAACACACTCTTCAGCCTCCAAGGGCACTGAATACATATGGTACAGACACACATGCAGGCAAAACACTCACCTACAAATTAAAATAATTGGCTTAAAAAAAAAAAAGAAGCAGATGCCAGATGTCTATCTGATCACTTTATGGTAAACTCATTTCTCCACCCTCAGAGAATAGATTTCACATGAGTTTCAGCAGCATCTTAGGAATCCAGGTGGAGATTCAGTCGGTCTGGAAAGTAGGTACTGCCACCAGACCAGACACAGCCACCCAACAGATGGAGCACAGTGGGAGGAGTCCAAGAAGGAACTTTAGGGTCCTCCAATAAGGTACCCCAAGCCTGGAGAATTAGTGTTGATAACCCAGCAAGGTGGACAGTGCAAACCAGAAGCTCTCTGAATGACACCTGTCTTAGTGAGGGTTTCTATTGCTGTGATTAAAACGCCACGGCCATAGCTTGGGGAGGAGAGGGTTTATTTCAGCTTACAACACTCAGATCACACTCTATTGCTGAGGGAAGTCAGGGCAGGAACCTGGAGGCGGGAGCTAACACAGAGGCCACGGAGATGAGCTGTTTACTGGCTTTCTCCTCTTGGCTTGGTCAGTTTGTTTTTTTATAGCATCCAGGCCCACCAGCCCAGAGATGACACTACCCATAGTGAGCTGGGCCTTCCCACATCCATCATCAATCAAGAATGTGCACCAGAGGCTTGCCACAGGCCAACCTATCGGGGACATTTTCTCAACTGTGACTCCCTCTTCTAAAGGACTCTCACTTGTGTCAAGTTGACATAAAACCAGCCAGCACAACAGCACTTACTTCTGTCCTTCCGTCTTTATGTCCTAAAAAGTTTACATTCAACATATGCCTAAGAATGTAGAAGCAAAGTCCACCAGTGGTGACGGCCTTTAATCCCGGCACTCGGGAGGCAGGGGCAGGTGGACCTCTGAGTTTGAGGCCAGCATGGTCTGCAGAGCGAGTTCCAGGACAGCCAGGGCTACACAGAGAAACCCTGTCTCAAACAAACCAAACTAATAAAAAGTAGAAGCAAAAGCACAACAAGCAAACTGAACGAGGTTTGAAGTGTCTAGGGTATATATGGTTTACAGGGCACCCTGCTTGTTAATTTAACTCCTTGCTAAAAGTATGACTCACTGTAGCGGATTCAACTCATCTTCACCTGTGAGTTACATCACTTTTATTATTTAAATTAAAAAACAATTTAAATGTGTTGACTAGAAGAGCAAACTGTGTTATCTCAACAAGGAATGATCGTTGGTATTTTACCACGTCTTAAATATATAGATACCCCTGACATCTTACGGGTTGCCCCAGAGCCCCCTAGGCTCCATCCAGGTGGTTGAGATCGCAGGTCTTTGTTTAGTTGGGGCCCAGAGACTTTGGAATGTCACCGCGGTGGCCCGAAAAATGGTTCCCCGAGCGTCACAGGAATCAAGCCTGATTACCTTTACACACGCACAATCGCCCCTAAAAGTTTTGCCGCCTCCGGAAGATAGACTGCCCCAGGATTTGGGGTCGGGGAGCAGCGGAGCCGCAGCTGTTTGCGGACAGACACCCAGCGTTCTCGCGGGGATCCCCCATGCAGCCTCCCGGCTCCGCGGCCGGCCGTACCCACCGGTGCGCGTCCCGCCTTCGCCTTCTTCTCTGGAAAATCCACTCTGGCTTCCGCCCCAAGGTGGCCGTTGTCCCGGTCAGGGCGGCCGGGAAAGTGGCGAGGGCGGCGCCACCCGGCGCCCGGAAGGAGGCAGGCGGCGGTCCAGCCGGCCGCACCTGTCGCTGCAGCGAAACCCTCCCGCGCCGCCCCCGAGCGCGCGCCCACGTGCTCCGGCTTCAGCCCGGCCGCGGGGCGGAGGAGGCTCCGGGGACCTGTGCCCGGGGCCACAGGCCCTCCCCGCGGGCCTGGCGTCCCATCGCCCACCCACTCACCTGGCCGGAAGAGCGCGCCTCCCCTCCGCGGGCACCGAAACTGAGATCGGGCTCGTGGGGCGTGGTCGAGCACAGCGCCCCGCCCGGCCGCCCCGGCCACTCCTGCCGGCCTCACCCCCGCAGGTACCCAGCCCGCCCAGCGCCTGCCAGGAAAGGGCAGTGGAAGGTGCTACCCGCCCCTGTCCATCTTTAGAACATTTGTTCTACTTTGCCTGAACCCAAGGAGACAGTGCATGGTAGGCAACGTTAAAAGATAAGAAAAACAAGATGAAATCCAACATTTTAATTTTGATATAAATTATGTAAATACTTTCCAGAAGTATCTAAAATATTCCACTGTACAACATACCAAAATGGTATCTGAGAAGCTAGATGCAAACTGTAAATAAGGCACAAAGTTGATTTTTGCATCCTAAATTGTTTTATAAATCACATTTACAACACCCCATAAAGTCTGTATATTCTGGATTACTCCTTCACATTTTCTGATATTTGAGCATGACATTCAAAAACATACTTTACACCGTGACCTCTCCTCCCCAAACCATTCACAAGACTAAATAAATACTAAGTACTGAGTACTTGAGACCTGCTTTACTTCAAGAAGACAGAAGGCAGCTGCTCGTAAGGAATACTCTAAGAGCTGAGCAATTAGCAAACTGCTTGTCATTCCCCAGAAGTGTGTTAATGCTGTTCAAGTACCACTGAATAAGTCTCTCAAGTAGCAATTTGATTGGCAGGCTGTTTTCTATGTCTCATCACTGTCGTAGTCCTCTATTACTATGTCTTCTTCCTTTTCTTCCTCCATGTCCACTTTGGAGGAAAAGGGCTGAGGCTGGCTGGCAGGCAGGTCACTCGCACTGTTCTGACTCAAAGGAAGAGACCAGGGTTCTGGGTCAGCAGTCTGGGAGGGTTCGCCCTGAGCTTCCTGTGCAGGCTGTCCTCCATTACACTGGAATTCGTCCCCGCTGTCAGGGTCTATCAGCCCCAATTCTCGGTCAGTCAGGGCTTCCATTTTCAACCTGTCAGAGTCACAGCGCAGACATCAATATAACCAAACAGGAGATTCCTTTACATTGCAACCTAAGTGGTCTTTCCACTTACACAAAATGCAAGGTGAATGACCAACTGTGACTAAATCCTACTGCTGAGGGTTAATGTCTCCAGCAGAGTTCCTACGTACTAACATTTATATATACATTAAACATGAGCAGAAAAGAGAAATCTCAGGAAACATGAATGGCACTACATAAACTGTTCAGCCTAATTTGTAATTTTAAAAATAGAAACTAAAGCTGGTCATGGTGCTCACACCTTTAATCCTAGCACTTAGGAGGCAAAGGCAGACATTGGATCTCTGAGTTCCAGGCCAGCCAAAACTACATAAAGACACCCTATCTCAAAAGAAGAAACTAAACCAAAAGACTGAACTTCAGCCAGGTGGAGGTACAGCCTGTACCAGCACTTGGGAAGCTACGACAAGAGAATGAGGAGTCTGAGTCTAGCCTCGGTTACCTAGTAAGACCCCCACCTCAAGACAATAAAGCTATAATACCTTTTTTTATTATTTTTATTTCCTATTGTTAGCTTCCAGAAATTGGAAAAAGATACTTTACATTTTTTATTTTCATTTTATGTTTATAAGGAAGTCAGATACCCTAGCCGAAGTTATAGGCAGTTTTGAGCTGAACCATCATCTCTCCAGTCCTAGTGCTTTTTTTTAAATTTTTTTTAAATTTTATTTGAGTTAGGGTCTATCTTCAAAGCCATGACTATGTAGCACAGGCTGGCCTTGAACTCACAGAGGTCCACCTGCCTCTGTCTTCCAAGTGCTGGAATTAAAGGTTTGCTCCACCATGTCTCCAGCTGCTTTGTATCTTTTGGACAACATTTACTGACTGTATGCTGAACACATTCAGTAGACATTTCAGTAAGAAGTTCTTTTAGAATTAAGGTGACTAGCTTACCTTCCAAAGTTTCGCTTCAAAGGAAGTCTTCCAATATCTTGGATAAAAGAAATCTGAGCTGAAAAGACATTTTAACAAAGTTTTAAATGCCATCATTTAAAAATTTACTTTTGATGGGCTTTTATTTTTATTTTAAAAAGGCATGTTTGAATATTCATGTTTATAACAGCATGCACTAATGATATAAGCTGAGTATCCCTGTGTCATTAATGTGCACATACATACATGTAGGCAAAATATTTATACTCATAAAAACAAAAAGATAGATATACATATATTGAATAAGCATATGTAGTAGGGCTGGGGAGAAAACTCAGTTAATAATGTGTTTGCATTGCAATCATTAATGCCTGTGTTCAACCCTAAGAATTTATATTTTAAAAAAGGCACATGTAGCCAGGCACATGCACCATGGTGGCACACGCCTTTAATCCCAGTACTTGGGAGGCAGAGGCAGGCAGATATCTGAGTTCAAGGACATGCTGGTCTACAGAATGAGTAACAGGACAGCCAGGCCTACACAGAGAAACCCTGTCTTGAAAAACCAAAAAAAAACCAAGGGAAGAAAGAAAGACAGTAGCTGAGGAACACTACCTGAGGTTGTCATCTGACTTCTATGTGCACATGCACACATTGACACACACACACACACACACACACATAAAAAGTACATTATGTACATACAGATTACATAAGCAAATATATTTAGAAAAATGGCAGGTAATTTCATTGTTCAAAGGGGGAGGTACGTGTGGGATTATTTCAGGGGTGCAGCACTGGCTTGGCTTGCACAAGGCAGGCCCTCCATTTGATCCCTGCCCTCCAGCCCCACAAAACAGTAGCGACCACACAAACGAAGCACAGCTATGGGAAGGAAAAAGGCTAGGATAAACGCTGTAGGGCTGGGTAGAAACTCAATGCTCTATTATGGACTTCCGTTATATACACAAACAAACTGTCTAGCTCTGTTTTACTGACAAAGCTTAGAAGTAACACTGGGTTTCCAGAGATGGCTCAGCTGCTAAGTATGTTCGCAGCAGATGACCCAAATTGGGTTCCCAACCTCAGGCAGCTCACAGTCATCTTTAACTCTAGCTCTAGAGGATTCAGCACCCTTTCTGCCCTCTGCTTCCATCTGCACCCATGTGCACATACCCACACATAGACACACACATATAATTTAAAAAAAAACAGTAATAAAAAGAAGTAAAGGGTTGGGGATTTAGCTCAGCGGTAGAGTGCAAGGCCCTGGATTCGATCCTTAGCTCAAAAAAAAAAATTAAAAACACAGCTTAAAGCAGCATCAACTAGTCAAATGTGAACAATCTGAGATCAAAATAAATGATAGTAAGGAGTTACAACTGAAGAACCAAGATTCCAGAATCTTTATCAATATACACCAAAAATTAAAACAAATGAGAAAGAATCAAAGCTGTTCCTCACAGTACAATTTACAGACAAAAAACCTAGAAAGAATGAAAACCAGTTGTCAACTCCTATGGATTAAAGCATGGTCGGTGTGGATGCTGTAACTAACAGGTAACAATCATGGTCGGCATGGATGCTGTACTAACAGGTAACAATCATGGTCGGTGTGGATGCTGTAACTAACAGGTAACAAAGTACTCAGTAGTAAAGAAAGCACTTTACCTTTGTTTCGCATTGGAATGGTCAGCAGCGCAAGATACGGCAAGAGCTGAGTCTGAAGACACAAAGCTGGAAGGCAGAAGTCAAAAAAGAGTGCTTTTGCTGCGAGGCAATTTTCCCGATACTGTATGGGAAAAAGACAACGAAAGGAAAATAAAATTCTAAGAGGGTTATATGTGTGGTATGGTTGTACATATGTTAATCCCAGCACTCAAGAGGCAAAGGCAGACAGATCTTTGTTAAGTTTGAGGCCAGCTTGGTCTTCATAACAAGTTCCAGGTCAGCTAGGGCTACATAGCGAAATCCTGTTTCAAACAAATGTCAATTCTAACTGTATATAAATTTATTAATACTTTGGGTGTGGTTAATTTTGGTGTGATATTTTTATTTATTAGTAAGTTTATTAATAATAAAGTTTAATAAAAATTAAAAACCAAATCCCCCAAATGAAAAATGGTTATGAATTCATACATAAAGTTTATTATACCACAAAGACTATGAGTTTATGTACTATAAAGATACTTTTTTCTTTTTAATGCAACCAGGCTGTCCTCCAACTTGCAATCCTCCTATCTACCTTCTGAGTGTATAAATACACTTTAAAGCTACTGGGGCTAGAGAGATGTAAAGGGTTTGTTGTCAAGCCTGTGTCCTGAACTGAATCCCCGGACCCACATGGTGGGAGGAGACTCTCTCAAGTTGTCTCTTCACCTCTATGTTCTTCTCCCCAGCACGCGTGCGTGCGCGTGCACACGCGCGCACACACACATAATATAACTGAAAAAGAAGTCATTTAACTAGTAATTCATGATCGTCGTAGCGTCACCTAACACTATCAGGTTACACCGCAGCAGCCTCACACATGTGCACTGACCAGGTGTTTTTATGGCATGGAGTCCTTGCCCAGTGTTCGGCCTATATATACACGATTGGACCTGTTTGAAGAGAACACCTATGACGGTTACACAATGGTAAAACGCTCAATAAGTTCTCAGGTTGTGTCTCTGTCTCAAGTAATGTGTGACTGTCCATTCCTATAACTAGTGCAATCTTGG